GACCAAAAAAAAGAAATGTAAAATGGTGGTGAATGCTGGACTATGGTAAGACCGGGTGCAGAATGATGCAGATCGAACAGCAGCAGTACCTCAATCTGCATGGCGTACCACTGGTAACTTTCTTTACTGATTCATCCTGCCTCATGCTCAAAATCCCTACATTTTCCTTCCTGCTAGAGACGAGAGAGGGAAACTTTGCCTCCTAAAATCAGCTGCCAGTAGCCCGCGCTGTAAGCTGCTTCCTTAAGAGGATTGCTTAAAAACTGGCAGTAGAAGATTCTAGCAAGCAGCTAGGTATAGCAATATCAGTTTGGGGTAGTAACAAATCAGCGAGTCTCAGTTTGATAGCAAAGGGCTGAAATGATGATGCTGTCGACCAGTGCAGCAGTTGCTTGTTCATGCTGCTGATTTACAAATAGAATGAGTCAAAAAAAGAGAAAACAAAGCATCAGCTATTTGAAAAATGATATATTGGCTGCAGCTTCATGATAACGCTTCCAGGAAGCGCATTTTTGAAAACGTTTGCTTTTTTGTGGACAAACCAAATCTGATAACTTAAAGTTACAGAATCAGCCATCGGAGGCGACAGTCGCGCCCCCGCCTGTTATAATCTGCCCGACAGAAGTGGATAATGTGAATATAACATTGGAGAAGAATCAGCAGTGTGCATGCAAAGACTGCGGCAAATTGTTCAACTCCGTCTGGTACCTCAAGCAGCATGCTGTGAAGCATTCCAACGACCGCCCGTTCAGATGCAAATTTTGTTACAAGGTTACTTAGCAGTTTACTTGACTAACATCAGTAACAACGAAAAGCACTAGCGATAATAAGTTTTTTGCGGAAGAAGGAATTTCCTTTTGGGACGAATACCGGCCAGTTCAAGATACAGCGCCACATGCAGACATTTTTATCTACCTATCATTTATAATATTATTAGAAAATTTTTTTATTCTAAATACTTCTGTGCCTTTCAAATATTTTTCAAAAAAAGTGAAATTGCCTCTTTCTAGAAAGTGAAATAACAAATTTTTTAGCAAATTCAGAAATTCTTTTTGAAAAGCACATAAACAATTAAATTTTTTTATCATTAGCCAAATAGTAGAAATAAATGATAGCAAATGAAATATATGATAGCAAATACCAATGAAAGTTTCAAGCAAAACTATTTCTATTCATCTTTTCATTAAAAAGAGTAAATTCAATTTAATAAATATTTGTTTCCCTTCCGGTCTGCTTCCTCTTTCTCTGCAGGTCATTCTCAACACCGCCTGCTCGATCACTACCTCAGTTACGTTTATGGCTAAACCAGTGAAAAATAAGCTTAGGCAGGCTTTTTGATGGGAAATTGTTGCACATAGAAAGAGAGAAGAACACTGTTTAACAAATTTAAAATTCTACTCACGTGTCTTTTGAAAAAGCACTTGTTCTTTAGCTTTTTGGCTCGCATTCCACCACCTAATATGAATGCATTTTTGACCCAGTTCTGTCTTTTTTCTTGCCTGAGCTTAATTTTTCATCAGTCTGGTTTCATATTCAGAAAACCCTTCTAATGAACTGAATATTCGTTTAAACATTGTATTCGGAGGCAGGTTAAAAGGCTTCGCTCTAAGTGATTTCGTTTAAAATAACACTGAAGACCGTAATTCTGATGAGCAATTACCAAAGCTCGGTTTAGCCGGCCGGCGTTATACACGATTTGCGAAAATGGAAAGTAGGTGGGGCGATGTGCCACGCGCATTGATGGATCTAAGAGGAGGGGAGGGGCACGTGGGGTCTTTCGCGCCCCCTCAGCAGCCTAGTTATTAGTTGTTTTACTGTACAAAAGTGCGCCAAGTACCCGCAGTGTTCCTCCCCCTCCTACCTCTGGAGCTTTATCATTAGTGTCCGTTGGTGGGGCGGGGAGAGGGAGGAGGAGGGAGAGGAGGGGGCAGCGAAGCGTAGAGGATAGTGACGAGGAGGGGAGGGGGTTGTAGTTGGTCGACCAGAGAGGAGTAGTGGCGAAGGGTGAAGGGAAGGTAGAAAATCGCCCCATCCAGGAGCCCACTCTGGATCCGCCTTTGGCCGCGAGTTTTATTTGAGGCAGGAGAGCAAAGCAGGGATAGGTAAATTTAATGACCATGTAGCCTAGATATTCTCTGTTCACGTACAAGTTAAAGATTTCAAATTCAGCCCCCGGGGAAGCGGGCATGTGAAATGTTTGGCGGAAAAATTACTAACTTGGGAACCAGAAAAGCTAGAAAGCTGAAATTTTAGGGGAATGTTCCCTGTCCAAGTAAGACTTAAATATTTCAAACTCGGCCTCCAAGTCTGCAGGCGTTTACAAAACTTTTAAAGTTTTGGCAAGAAAATTGCCCACTAAACAGCCAGGTCATTTTCAAA